ATCGTTGTTTGTCGAGTTTTGTGTATCCAAACCTCCATTGATGAGTGCATAGGAGAAGTTTTGGCTAACAGCATATGGAGCATATTTCTCCAAGAAAGCCTCTAGCCCATCATATTTTGCCCATTGGCCAAGGTATCCAGCGACCCCTAGACGTGACTCGGGATTTGCCTTAGCAGTGTAGTTGCCAATATTGTAAAGATCTCGAAGACATTGAGGAGTAATTGTAACATTGCAAGCAGTAGTATTGAGTGTTGGTAAAGAAAGAGTACCAAAGTCCTCACGGAATACTTGGCTGCGTTGTGCTCTAATTTGACCAAACCTGGTTGTGGGTTGAATCATTGTAATGTGACTCGAGACCTCTCTTGGAATGGAATATCCCAAAGTTCGAATTTGTTTATTGTGCTTTTGATCCTGATGAGCATAGTAATGGAAAGTGGTATTCAACATATCCTCCGCTTGCTTAATTGAAGTACGGAAGTTGATCCATTCTCCATCGTTGTGGATATTTGACTCGGAGATACCAGATTTCTCCAACCATGATAGAACGGCTTGAGTGGTTTGATCAGCTGGCTTGATGAATCGTTTAAGCTCTTCACGCTCAAGATGTTGACCATACTCAACATGATCAGGTGACGAAACGGCATAAAGCTTCTGTTCGAAAAGTTCATGATCTGGCTGCTCCAAAGCAATTCGAAGCTTGATTGTTTTGTATGGGCGAGGTTTCTCGAGTTGAGCCCAACCTTGCGGGATTTCGCGAAGCGATTCCAAGAGCTCCATGGAAGACTCGCATGCAGCAAAGCTACATACTGCCAAACCAGAAACCACGCGAGAGAACTTCATCTTGATCTTGGAAAGCTGGTGTGTTAGTAATATTGTATCCCCCTTTTGGTAATGGTCATCAACTCACGATATTGAGCCCTAGAAAGGACTATGAAGATGTATCAACAAGAGAACACCAGGAAAATCAGAGGTGTCGAAGTTGGACTTGAAAGAAAGGAAGTGATCAACGAGACGGGAATTGCTTGCCTTTTGTACTCAATCATACTTTGTTGATCGCCTTCGCCTTCGGCTCAATAGAAGAGGGGAAGATCGTAAAAAGTATTGTTATCTCATTCACCTAATGTAAGCCAAGAAAGATGGGAAGTATATGTTACAAAAGAGGCAGGTGCTATCGGCCGAATCTCTTGGTCAAATGGTGCCATTCGTCGTTCTCAGAGATCCAATTGAGTCTATGATGGTTGGAATTTACTGAATTTCACATCATTAAGGTTAAACTCTATCCTTAAAAGCTGCCCCTTATCAATCTATCATTGTCGTGGTATCGCTCCCTCCAGAAACATAGGATGAGATTGACACCAGACGCAAACATATACTTTGGTTCCTGATCTTGTCCATCTTGTCCATCATGCCATTACTTGATCTCAGCTTACCATTCGGCTTGGCCTGCATGTTCGACACGGTTTGGATATACACTTATGCTCATGTCCTGCATTTCACTCGAAATGTAACCGATATGAAGTTGTACAACTTTATCACCATCCGGATTCGGGTAGTATCCCCGCCTTGTCCCAACAGTGAACGATGCACCGCGCCTTGGTATTTACACACAACTCCTGGAATCGATGCAGGTATCCCACCATTGTGATTGGATATTCCATTTACCAGCCTTGGCTGACATTGTGAACATGTCGAATTGATAAGTAATCTTACCATTGATTGGTTTCTTATCTTACACCTGCATCTGCGGTAAATGAAGGAAAGATATGCGGGGAATGTGTCAAAGGGAATGAATGAATGGATGAATGGATGAATGAATGAATGAATGAATGAATGAATGCATGGCCAGCTTCACGATCAATTTGGAGTTGTATTATTTGATGATCAATTGATGAATGAAAGTTGGGATGTGGTGGAAATTATGTACTTCGTAGGTAGAAATGAAGGAGTGATAATCGAAATAAAAGATATCGGCATCGGAGAATCCATTTCGGATCCCAACGGTCCCAACGATCGGGTGGCTACAGCTTGATCATCAAATCAAATTCTTCTTCGATTCAAGATATTCATTCGAACACTTTCATATCCAACAAAGAGCCTCAAAAAGTACTCGAGCACATCTACAAAAAAAACTTCAATATCTATCAAAATGTCTACAGAGCCGATTGCAGTCTTGTTCGTCTGCTTGGGAAACATTTGTCGTTCAACCATGGCGGAGGGAATCTTTCGATCCATGGTTTCCCAGGGTCCTTACGCATCCTTGATATCGAATGTTGATTCATGTGGTACCTTCATTCCGGTTAATATTTCCTTCATATATTTTGAGATTAATTTTTGGATGTAGGAACTGCAGCCTATCACACTGGATCTTCCCCAGATTCCCGTACCATGGCTACGCTGAGAGAGAATGGAATCTGTGACTATAAGCACAAGGCTAGAAAGGCAAGCTTTATTTGATACATTCATCACGCTGCTGGCTGAACTTTGTTTATTGACAGCTCGTCTAGGTTTCTATCAATGATTTCAAGAATTTTGATTATATCTTTGCTATGGATAGCAACAATCTTGAAGATCTTCTCTCCTTGAAAAGGAGAACGGAGGGTAAAGCAAAAGTTATGTTATTTGGAGAGTATGCAGGAGGTTCTAGCCCCGAGGAAGTAGATGATCCTTATTATGGTGGGAATGATGGATTCAAGGCTGCTTATGAACAGTGTACGAGGTTTTCCAAGAATTTCTTGAAGTCGACTTTTCCGGATGTTGAGAAATGAAGGGGATTGGATGTTTTGATGCCATGTATATATGGATATATGTATGCAGAGAAGGATAGAGATCACCATTATGTGAATGCCCATTAGTGCATGTATTAGTGAGGGATGCAATTTGACTTCCTGAGAAGCTTTTCACTATCATGATGACATGCATGGGAAAGTCTTGGGTTCATAATGATTTTTATGTCATGATCAAAATGTCGGTGAGAATATCATGGATTTCCCATGAGAAGATGGGGTTAATATAAGTGTCTGTCACCATAAACTTTCTCTCAAAGAAACAGTGTCAAGACGAATAGCAATCGCCTCCTTGGGAATCAACAAAGTCTGAAGCATACGAAGTACGAAGTAGAGATACCTTTTAACGTTTTCACATATATGACATGATTACCTACGCGCATAAAGGCTGACAGATATATATTGACACGACCGTTGAAGCAAACTCCCCCACCATGGAATGCCCCACTGGATATTACTCGAATGATGAGCCTCCAAGAAAGCAAACATGGACTGAAAGAGTTTACGATGTTACCAAAATGCATTGCCAACATTCAACAGCTGAAAGGAAGCTGCATATACGTACGTGACCTTGATTCGTATTTGCCATCGTCCGAACCACTTACAGCCATGATAGATGATTGAACGCGAATGTTTCGACATCTCAGCCACCATGTCCAAGAACTTGAGAAACCTGAGAAACTCGAGATTTGCTCTATATAACCCGTGAATGTATGATGAAGGCGGAGTTAGGTATGAATATAAAGCATAAAGCATGAATGTGACGTTGGAAAATCGGTCAAGTCGATCGATGACATTTGAATTCATACGGACCCGGTAGATAGATGCTTGAACATTTCTACTCAGCCTCAAACGTAGGCTTCCAAACATTGTACCCCAAAAAGCTTCCGGCTCAAAGGATCTCTCTCTCACCCATGGCATGGATCTTTGAAGTACCGATGGTGGCATCTCTTGCATAGCCGCATCTGTGTATTGTCCCCAAAAGGCTGTGTATGAAAGTGTAAATGATGATAGATTGATTGGTTGGAAGGAAGGAGAATGTGAAGTCTTCCAAGGTTGTTGCGCTGCGGTCCCTTGCTATGTGCACGTGGGTGGTTGAATGCATTTGGTTCTAGTGAAGTTTCTATTTTGAGACCACCGGTGGACAATTTTTAGTTCTGACCTACCTGGTAGTTCTTGGAGCGACGTGTTTCCCTAGACTCGTAGTATGTAGGTAGTGTGCAGCGCTTCGAATGCTGATGATTTGACAAAGAGATCCTTATGAGCCACGATTAAGAACAAGAGGCTGTCTAATACAGATTCCGCCTTTTTGGCGAGAAGAGAGGAGAGAGGAGAGAAATGAGAAACGAGAAATGGGAGGTTGGGTAATTTGGAACAATATATGGAAATATACGAGTACTGGTATGGAAATATATATCAAATAATGTAATTAATTATATTCTTATTAATTATATATATTCTTCTAAATTCGATACCTTGCTTGATTGTAGATCTTTATCTCTCCCGATCCAAGATAATCCTTAATTATCCAATCTTCTCTCTTCTCTCGACTCACGAGCCAACTTACCCAGCGTCATTTCGTCGAGGGGAGGGATATCTGCTCCGTGCTATCCAAAACACCCAGACTCACCCACTATCGATATCTGATGATATGAAACCCGAGAACTGTGAATGTATCACTACTACACTCCTACACTCCTCCTCGAGGACTAGGTAGATACAAGATAATCACCACCATGCACGAAAGGTACAAGGTATTTTCAAGTTCAAGGATTACTTTGCCTTGGCAACCACTTTCTGATCATCCACTCTGTTTACAATCCCTACCAAATTTCTAACATCCTTTTTAATGCGCGGCCCTCCTCAAGGTGAAACCAGCTCTCACAAGCACAAAATTCCATCTTACTCGGTTCAACCTAAGCCAAAAAAAATATTGGCATCTCTTCTAAACTCTGTCTTTGGTGCTTTCGTATCTTCGTATCCTGACTCTCAGGGCATAAGGAAGGAAAGAATAGGGGCGAAGGAAAAGTTAACTCTAACCCTACGCATCAACATAGTCCATCTGCAACCTTGCACATCTCACTTAGAGGATTGACGGCAAGACATTCCCAACTGAGCTTGAGCCCATCGCAAGGAACCTCATTTTGCTCCCACGCAATCCCCTTCACCCCACAGATCTCATCACAAATAGGACGGTTAATTTGATACATCGATACCATGTCCTATAATCGATTAGGTATGTCCTCCTATCTAATTTCGCACATCTATTCTCCACCTTCCAAGCACACATTATCCGAGTTTCGCGTGGTGATAGCAGTGAATGATTCTCAAGATTGGATTCAAATCGTGTTGTTGTCTTGAAGACCATTCACGTCGGCCAGTGTATCCAGTTTTGCGGCGCATAGCAACCAACACGAAAAGGCACAATCAAGTTGAACTCTGCTGCGCAAGAAGGATTCCTTGATGGAACACTGAATCACTTTAAACATTCAATTTACCTCCTGCTACGGCAAACATCATTTCTTCTTGTGGGGAGGAATATCTACAAAATACACACTTTTGTTTGTTTACAATAAGCCTTTCTAATATTCAACTTACACAGATCCGACGGGCCAAGGCCAAGACGATTATTACAATATGAATAATAGACATCAGTCGCCGCACCCTCAAGGGTACCAACTAGAAGATGCGCCATATGGAAGACCACATACTACCTCACCCGGTCCTGGAATGCAGAATCTCGAGATACCCATGGGTCCTGGAGCACATAGAGTTGGAACACCAAGTGATCAATTGCAAGCTCAACCATCTGTAAGTACATATTTGGGCGTGCCTTGTGTCTGCAGAGAGATATGATTATAGCTAACATGTATCATACAGTATTCGGTCGAACATTTAGATTCAAACCAATACCATCAGCGCATGCCCCTCAACCCCAGTCAAAGCTACGACTCGGAATATTCTCTAGATCCTAACGCGCATCACGATGCCTACTACCAACCTCCATACCAACCTTCTCCTCATGAAGAACATCCTTTACATAATTACCCCCCAGCCCAAGACCCATACTACAATGACGATGATGACCATCAACCAATTCTACAATCGCATGAACCTTATGGGCCAGATCCGCACTCAGCTAGTGGCACCGATTACAAAGGTGGTTATGACGGGGCGGGACAATCTCCATCTGCGACACCTGTACCTGCGTTGAGAAGATACAAGACAGTTAAGGAAGTCCAACTGTTCAATGGAAATCTCGTACTTGATTGTCCGATTCCTCCTAAACTTTTAAATCAAGTTAATCATGCACCACCGCCGGAGAGAGATGAGTTCACACATATGAGATACTCAGCCGCAACATGCGACCCCAGTGAGTTTTTCGAGGAGCGCTTTACATTGCGACAAAAACTCTTTGCAAAGCCTCGGCATACAGAACTCTTCATCGTTGTCACAATGTATAATGAAGATGATGTATTGTTTGCTAGAACAATGCACGGAGTATTCAAAAACATTGAATTTATGTGCACTCGCAAAGATAGTAAAACATGGGGAAAGGATGCTTGGAAGAAGATCGTAGTGTGTGTGGTCAGTGATGGACGTGCTAAGATCAATCCAAGAACAAGAGCTGTTTTGGCTGGTTTGGGAGTTTATCAAGATGGAATTGCAAAGCAACAAGTTAACGGCAAGGATGTGACAGCACATATTTACGAATATACGACTCAAGTCGGAATTGCTTTGAAGAAGGATATTGTTACACTCACACCAAAACAGCAACCCGTTCAATTGCTTTTCTGCTTGAAGGAAAAGAATCAGAAAAAGATCAACTCTCACAGATGGTTCTTCCAAGCCTTTGGTAGAGTACTCGATCCTAACATTTGTGTACTCATCGATGCTGGTACAAAGCCAGGAAAAGACTCAATTTATCATCTGTGGAAAGCTTTTGATTTGGAACCACATTGTGCAGGAGCTTGTGGCGAGATCAAAGCTATGTTGGGTCCAGGAGGAAAGAATTTGCTCAATCCATTGGTTGCCACCCAGAATTTCGAGTACAAAATGAGTAACATTCTGGACAAACCTCTTGAATCGGCATTTGGATTCATTTCGGTGTTACCAGGTGCTTTTTCTGCATATCGATATGTTGCGTTACAGAACGATAAAACTGGAAATGGACCACTGGAAAAGTACTTTGCAGGAGAGAAAATGCACGGAGCAAACGCTGGTATTTTCACTGCCAATATGTACCTTGCCGAAGATCGTATTTTGTGTTTCGAATTGGTATCGAAGAGAAATTGTCACTGGATCTTACAATACGTCAAGTCTGCTACTGGAGAAACCGATGTACCGGATACAATGGCCGAACTAATTTTGCAACGTCGAAGATGGCTTAACGGAAGTTTCTTCGCTGCTATCTATGCTCTTGCTCATTTCTATCAACTTTTCCGAAGTGATCACAGCTTCTTACGAAAGATTATGTTCTTGATTGAATTCACATATCAAACAATTAACATGATCTTCGCTTGGTTCGCTCTTGGTAATTTCTTCTTGGTCTTTCACATCTTGACTACATCTCTCGGAAGTGCTGACTTACTGGGTAATGTTGGTGTAATTCTTGGTGTTGTTTTCGAATGGCTTTACTTGTTTACGCTTTTGACCTGTTTCATTCTGGCGCTGGGAAACCGACCTCAAGGAACGAACAAAGTTTATATGTCTATGGTTTATTTCTGGATCATCATCATGATGTGAGTATTTTCCGCTTTCTCTAATTTTCTCCTACTAACTGGAATAGATACCTAATGTTTGCTTCAATTTTCATCACGGTCAAATCAATTCAAACTCAACTTGCGAAAGATCAATTCAACTGGACGGATATTATCAAGAATCAAATCTTCTATACTCTGATCATTTCTCTCGCCTCGACTTATCTACTCTGGTTCATTTCTTCCTTTTTATTCTTCGACCCATGGCACATGTTCACATCTTTCCTTCAATATCTTCTTCTCACCCCAACATATATCAACATTCTCAACGTTTACGCTTTCTGTAACACTCACGATATTACATGGGGTACCAAAGGAGATGACAAAGCCGAGAAACTTCCATCCGCTGTGCTCAAAGCTGGTGGTAAAGTCGACGTCAACATTCCCACTGACGATGGTGATCTCAACGCTCAATACGAATCCGAAATGCGGAAGATTCAAATCAAAGCTCCGCCTGAGAAACGTGAATTCTCGGCAGAAGAGAAGCAAGAAGATTATTACAAATGGTTCAGATCCTCAGTAGTGTTGTTCTGGTTGGTTTGTAATTTTGCACTCACGAGTGCGGTGCTTAGTACAGCGGGCTTGGAGAATATCGATACGAGTACTGATGATACGACGAAGAGTACGATTTACATGGCTGTGGTTTTATGGAGTGTGGCAGGATTGAGTTGTTTTAAATTTATTGGTGCGATGTGGTTTTTGATTGTCAGGATGTTTAGAGGTGTTTAGTGTTCTGGCGGAAAGAGAGACGAGGGAGGAATGGGGAGAATGTGGTTCTGAGAATGGAGGGTTTAAGATATGAATGCACTGGATATGCAATGAATGAATAGGATAGGATAGGACAAAGATACCCCAGTTAGCGGAGGTGGATGGGGGAGATGGTACATACAAAATGTATGTACTTGCGTGATTTTACCATTTTTTATTTCTTCTTTTTATGATTCGTTAGGAGCGAGAGGATTTGGGAATTCTTACGATTGCATGACTTTATTACTTGGTCTCTTGTGAAGAGAAAAGGGGTGATATTTTATATGTATAGAATGGAAGGAGTTTTGGGGGTAGAGATGAGATGGGGGTGAGGGTTGTGGATGAGGAAAGGGTAGTCTAGAATACTAGGAGAAAGATTTTAGAGAAATGATGAGGGGGGTATGAATATGAAATATAAATAACAAACCTTTTTTGAAATGATGTTTTGTGTGTGTGTGTATTTAATCTGTGGTGTGGAGTGTGGGATGTGGCATGTGGCATGTGGCAAGCGGGAAGTAAAACTTAGGTAAGGTGAATGCAGATAGGGGAAGATAGATAATAGGAAGGAGATCCTGCAAACTTAGTATCTAGTAATTCTTGGATAGTTGGGTAGATTGTGTAGATTGTGTAGTGATAGGTATACATAGGTAGGTCGTTAGTTAGGTAGGTAGGTCGTTAAATAGTTAGATAGGGTGTTTAGTTAAAGTTTTCGAAGGTTTGGAGTGCATGATAACCTTGTGGGAGTGGGGTTTAAGTCTCACTAGTAGGTTAACCGAATCGAATCGAAGGTCGAAGGGAAGTGTCCTTAATTTTTAGAATGTTAAATGGTATGGATCCCCTGATACATACATACTTGTATAAACGAAAATGATTTGTGTGTGAATTATGATATGATTTACGAATCATTTATCTACCCGATACTTAGTATCTGATCGGTTTCTATTTTACCTTTTGAGAGATTTATATACTTCTTTAATCGATTGCTCTTTGTATCTCCTCGAATACTTTACCTATCTACTTACTTTATACAATCGATATCTGATTACTTAGTAATTCATCAACCACCACCACCAACCCGCCCTAAATTCTCCCCAGGTTCAATATCATAATGTACTCAACCCCAAGCCCTACCCCCAAACCAACCCATCTCATCCTGCTCACCTGCCACGCCATCTATGTTTCCGGACCCCCAGAGCTCGAATCGTCATGGCTGCTCGCTCCTTTTCAAAAAGAGGGGAGGGAATGGATGACGTTTATTAAGCATGTGATGCGTGCGGCAGAATTATGGAAGGAGGATGAGAACAGTTTGTTGGTTATTAGTGGGGGGTGTACGAGGGGAGAGGTGCAGAGGAGTGAGGCGAGGGGGTATTTTGAGGTGGGGGTGGAGAGGGGGGTGTGGGGAGTGGGGGATTTGGTTCGTAAAGTGGGGATGGGCAGAGGAGAGGGGAGGATTGTGTTGGAGGAGGAAGCGTTGGATAGTTATGAGAATTTGGTGAGGGGATTGGTGGCTTTTTGGAGGGGGACGGGGGGGTGGCCGGGGAGAATTGAGATTGTGAGTTTGGGGTTTAAGAGGGGGAGGTTTGAGGAGTTGCATTGTGGGGTTTTGGGGTTGGGTTTTAGGTTTAGAGGGGGGAGGAGACAGGAAGAGGTTGGGGATGAGGATGGGGAGGGAAAGGGGAGAAGAGGGGGTGGGAAAGGGGTGGAAGTTATTTTTGAAGGAATCAATCCTGAATTTATGAACGAAGAGAGTGAGGAGTTTGATCGGGAGAAATACGAGGATACGGTGAGGGGGGAGAGGGAGAGGGGATATGGGGAGTGGAAACGAGATTTGTGGGGGACGGGGAGGGTGTTGAGGGGGAAGAGGGGAGGAAGAGATAAGTGGGGTATTGAAGGGCAGGAGAGAAAATTGTTTAAGAGTGAGGAGGAGAGAATGAGGAGTGGAGTGAGTACGAGGTGGTTGGACGAGGGTGAGGGGATGAGGAGAGAAGAGGTGATTGACGAGGGAGGAGTTTTGCCTTGGAATTGTTAGGGTGAATGTGGTCATATAGCCAGAGTAGGTAGGTTTGTGGGGTCTTGGATACAGGAATCTGTTTCTTTTCATCATTTCTACGATTTCGAAATTTGAGATGCAAAATTTTCAAGTTTATTTGTGATGCTATGCTATTCACACTGCGAGGGTGTTCCTTTGTTTAATACGAACTATCTCTTCAACTCGGCGGGTTGGAAGTAATTCTATTCTCGTGAGAAGTTTTCATAGAATTGTGGTCTTGCTTCTTCTTTGTTGTTTTTTGTTTTTTTCTTGTTGCGAGGGGGAATTTGTGGATGGATAGATGGATAGATGGATAGATGGATAGATGGATAGATGGATAGATGGATAGATGGATAGATGGATAGATGGATAGATGGATAGATGGATAGATGGATAGATGGATAGATGGATAAATGGATAGATGGATAGATGGATAGATGGATAGATGGATAAATGGATAGATGGATAGATGGATAGATGGATGGATGGATGGATGGATGGATGGTTATACTACTTTCCGCTAGGAAGATTGAGAATAGGTGGATGGGGAAAGGGAGTATGCAAAAGGAGTTTATAATGACACTTTTTATACTTCCTACCTACCTACATATCTGCCTACCTACCTACCTACCTACCTACCTTTACATCTTACTCCAAATCGTGTATCAAAGGGTATATAGATATAGATGTATAGACACGCAACGAAACCTTGTTTTGGAAGCTTGGAAAGGATGGTTTTCAGTTTGAGCCTTGAGGATCTGGTTTGGTTATTATAGGTGGGAGTAGGATGATGGGTTATTGGTTGTATGGTTGTGTGGCTCTTTGGTTTGGGATATGGGATATGGGGTGCTTGTTTATGTTGTTTTCTTTTGATTCGTAGGGGAAGAGAAGAAAAGAGAAGAGAGTGGGAGAAAATAGAGATATATATAACAGATCTTGAGGATTTCTTGAGTTTTGAGCGATGGCTGGGAATTGAAATGGAGAGTTTACTTCAGTTTATTTCATTTCATATTTATCTTTATCTTGAGTTTATTGATCTGGATGAATTGGTATTCTAGAAGAGTCTCGTTGAGATATCACTAGGTAGTTGGCTAGGTAATCTCTTTCACTGGTGTTGTAAAGATTATCTAGTATCTAGAAAGGAGAGCGAGAAAATTTGAGCTTGGAGTCAGCGCTAGATGCATTCGGCTTGTTATTGCAGGAACTCTTCTGCGTGGAAGAATATAAAGAAATGTGTATCAAAAGGGAGTTTGTCTTTCTCTGTTCAAAATTTGCACTCAATTTGCGTGGAGAAGCTGGTTGTATTTCGGAGGGTTGTTCAAACAGGAATAATACATCTACCTAGTAGTATCTCCCAAAATAAATCGAAGTTTCTAGTATAGCAAAATGTATACTTGCAGCTTCAATGGGTTTGACAGTCGTTCTTTCCTTATTTGCACTTTTCGGTGCGAAGAAGATGATGTAAGAATAGAACCTCGAAACTTGGTGATGCAGATATAGAGCCTTGACTACTTCTCCCCTCTCTTTTCCTTTCATTTCACTGATAGGCAATATGTATATACGGTACCAAAATTCTCAATTCTAGTTAGGTGATACAACTCTACATCATCTTCTCTCACACTTTGGCCTTTGGCATTGAATTCGCGCTTGTCTACTCTCTCACACCCACCTACTCACTCACTCTCACTTGGAAAATGCTCAGCAGTAACGTCCAGCCAATAGTAACTCACTCGTCATCCATTCAAGCTCGCTTCACTTGAGATCCTTCAGCCTTTGGAGTCGAACTATGTTCTTCACTTAGGTAAATCGAACTCCTTAAGCATTCTCTTAATCCTTCTGAGATATGTACGGGAGCTCTCTTGGCTAAATCAGACGATAGTACCTAGCATGTGATTGTTGCTCTGTGTGAGTATGATACTTTTTACTTCATACTTTCCTATTGAATATTTATCCTCTCTTTATCTATAACCTCATCTTGTTCAGTCTAAGTGTCAGCTGATCATCTTAGATATCAAGGCATGATCCATATAACCACAACCAACTACCATCGAGAATTCACTTTCACCTTTTCACTTTAGATTAGAAAAAGCTCAATTTCGGAATCTGTAACTGTACCGGCCAATATTTAAACCGCTCTAGGTATTTAAATCTCAACCTTCTACCTCGTGTTATAAAATTCTTAACCCATCAACTGCACAACCATCCTCAATACGAAATCCGCACCAAAAACCTTTTATACTTTATCCCCTGAGAAAGAACCAATCAGCACCACATACATCTCATCACATTATATCAAATCTACAGAAATGTCCGCTGTTAAAAACGAAAGCGCATCTCCTTCTCGTTCAAATTCCATTCCACCATACATATCTGACTCGGAACCCGAATCGGTTTCACTTTCTCCGCCACGAGATGATGGAAGTAGTCATGATGAGCGCGAGTTTATGAGTGGATATACTCGTTCTTCGTATCGAGATGGACGTGGATATAGAGGTTCTTCTGGCCATAGTCGGGTTGAACGACCGGGTGGAGATGATGATGAGAATGAGAATGAAGGCGAGGATGAGGATGACGAAGGTCTGAATGGATATGGGGATGGGTATGGTGGAAGAGAGGATGATGGAGAAGATGATGACGAGGAGAGAGATGACAACGAGGAGGACGAAAACGAGAACGAAGATTCCGACCAAGAAATTAAAAACGAGGATTCATCAGAACCAGAACTCGAACTCTCAATCGAGATTGACGACATGCAAATGAACGTTCCCCATACCCAACAAATCCTACTTTCAGACATGGAAGGTTCAGAACACGAACTCGAATCCGACAGAAACTCTACCGCATCTGAAGATTGGCGCAACATGAACTTTACCCAAGAAGATGAAATTGCTACTCTCACTCTTCCTACCAAAGAAGAAATTGCGGCTACCGTTGAAGAGGAACTTCAAAAGCAAATATATAAATCTGTTCAGGAGGAGAAAATCCGTCAAGATATGGCTGCTGCCAATAATAGACCTGCTCCTGATCCCAGTCCCACCATTCGAATTTTAGCCATCGGAACAGATATGTGCGAGGAATTTATGGAAAGCATATGTCCGGATGTGAAATTAATTGGAATAGGAAGATTGGATGGATGGATGTTTTGTGTTGATGAGAAGGTTGAGGGAGTATGCTGTTATCGAAATATCGTACCGGATTCGGACTTGATGAATGAGGAAGAAGAAGCAGAGTATAATACTGTTGATAAAGTCGTCTATGGATTGATATGGGAAATTCATGAAAGTACACTTTATACACTTCTTGAGATGAATAAGAAGGGATGCGAACCTCAATTTGGAATGGCGCGAGTGGATGTTGTTAAATTGGAATGCGAAAGTTTCGGACGCGCGTTTGGGATGGGGTGGGGATTGAAGAGGGGATTGAAGGAGGTAGGGGTGGAGAAGGATGTGGTGATTTTTACGGGAACACCTGGGGGCATGGGATTGGGCGAGGGATATAATGAGGGGGTTAATAGGGGAATTATAGAGGGGTGTATGAGAGGGATTCCGGATGAGTGGGTGGAGAGTGATGTGAGGATTTGGGTGCAGTATCCTTATGTTCCAGTACCGATGAAGTAGGGGGTGAGGTATAAAAAGTTTGTTGCGAGGAAATTTGAAGGGAGCGAGAAGAAGTTTTAGAAAGACACATGAGGAAACTTCCTCTGGAGTGGGGTCTAGAAAAGTTAGGTATGCTTCGTACAATAATTTCGCAAGCTGGTTTGAGGATAATCTCAGGTATATGCCATGCCATTTTATGATTGGAGAAATGGAAGAAGTGTAGACTTAGGCTTTGAGGTTTATGACGAACATACTACTTCTGCCCGTTTCTGAGTAGATATGGGAGGAGCATCTTCTTTGATAAGAATATTGAATGGCAGGGGTTGAATTTAGATTGTGTCTACACAGGCTAAAAATGATTGATAATTAATCACTTATACTTGTACAACCATTCTCTTGAATGTTGGGGAAAGCAAATGTGACTTCACTACCTAGTATATAGCGATGTGCGAAACGAAGTGGTACAAAACTTGACAAAGAGAGAGGTGCTAGTACAACTGGTTTAAATTTCAACGAAAAAGATAGACGGATAGTTAAAAGAGTCAATCTACCTAGGAGGTATCTCTATCTGTCAAATCCCACGGTATCACCTAACAATCCCCCTCGTTCACTCTCCTCGCTACTCCCCCTTGTTCCTACCCATCCACAAAACTTAAATCTTCGCCTGACTACCCGTAGCCTCTCGCATCTTCGCAGCCAGCGTCTCATTCACAAATTTCACCGTATCACCCAGCATCTCCGTACTAAACGCATGACCGACCCCCGGATAGACTCTATCATCCAGGAACAAATCTCCCTCTTTCCACCACCCTGTGTGCGGATCGGAGGCCTTCTTGAGAAAGTGGAGAAAGGGGGCGGAACAGTGATAGGGGACTAATTTGTCGTCGGCGCCCGAGCAGACCAGGATGCGTTTGTGGCTGAGTTTTTGCGTGAGCGTGGGTGTGTAGAGGGATGGGGCTGAAGGGGAGCTGGAGGGGATGGGCGTGCTTCCGAAGAGGATGGATGCGGGGTCCCATTTTTGGAGACTGCGTATCAGAGCCGGGGGGAAGTCTTTGCTTCCCTGGAAGGAGATGCCGGGGGGAGAGGTGGATGTGTAGGTGGGGCGTTTGGAGAGACGCGCTCGGTCGGTCATTATTCCTGAGGTGGGTGTTAGTAGGGGTTGAGTGGCAGGTTGGTTTGTTTGTTGTGTGAAAAGTATGTGTAGAGGATTGTCTTATGTAGAAGCGAATCTGCTTTTTCCTTCTTCGCTTGACTCCATTATCGATAGTGTTTACTGCTTGCTGAGGGGGGTTTGGTGATATTGTGGGTTTATTGGGTAACTATTCCCACATTGATCTTGAGATTTCAACCATGCATTGACGTTGGGAGGATAATTCTTGATCTTTTTGGATGAGTTTGGAAAAATTTCTTCCCAAATGCATAGCTCACTTGAGGATCTCCTCTTTTTCGTACCAAAAATGGAAACAGCTTATCTTCAGATACTCTGGTAAATCAAGTCTATGATAAAGTGTAGCGTGAAGACGCACATGTTCATGCGACATGTCATAAGTCATTTGGGTTCTAATATTTATGAAAGCAGACTTACGCAGGTAATCAGGGCATCCAATAATCACAACACCAGCCGTGACTCTTGGATCAGCAAACAAAACTTGCCATGCTGAATGACCTCCGAGAGAGATACCCAAGACCAGATGTTGGTCGATGGAAGGGGAATCTCTGGTGTTGAAGATGTAGGAAGGTAGATGATCTATCAGGAGACTTGTATCCATTGCCGTTCCATGAAATATACTACGCTGCATGAGCCATTTTCAATCCATCCACGAATACTACAAGGTGTCGAACCTGAACATGTCTTGAGCATGAGTCTCGTTACCGTCTCTCCACGATTCATTTGCTAAAGCATTGACTTCTCTGCTCCCGTGATTTCTTTGATCAAACGCAGCCGCGATCAAACCAACCGTTCGATTGGAACCTGATTGTTGATTCCACTCCTGGATACAAGTCGAAGCTACATTTTCCATGATTTTCTTGGTTTGGAGTCGTGGGTGGAGAAGCCAGAGACAGGATATGGATGTACATGATGGGGATATTTCCTCGAGCCCATAAATGGTTGTTAGGATGCCAGCGATGTGAAAGGTTTTTTCCGATATGGATATAGCTGGAGGAGCATTTTCAAGGGGGTTAGGGGTAGCCATGATGTTTGAAGCGAATCCTGATGTATACTCGAGGACTAGGTAGGTGTAGGTAGGTATGTATTGAAAGCTAGATGGGGAAGCGAACACTCGTTTGAACAAAGCTAACCTTATGTATTACATTACGCTCGGATGAGAAGATTGTCAAGGTTAATAAGGTGTGTAGGTAGGATAAAAGAAAGAGTGGGGTTTGTGAATGCAATGCAAGATCTTTTTAATCTTTCAGATCTTCACTCCACTTACTCATGGCAAGGGAAGGGGTCTATCTGGTTGGATTAGTCAATGTAATAAGTGGTGTATAGATGTTTCCTTCGTCTCCCTGTGTCTTCCCCAGATATGTTTCTATTAGGTAGGTAGGTAGGTAGTTGAGGATGGGAATGATGATTAAATGAGGAGATTTTGTAGAGAAATACATACATGTATACATATATATACATATATCTATTACCTGTGTATATATACTATGTGCTATCACCCAATACCAATCCCAGGTGTATCTTTTTCTAGAAGACGAAGAAGGCGCGGCAAATGTCAAATGGCAAATGGCAAATGGCAAATGGTAAAACGATTTAAAGGGGATCTACGGTGTACGGTGACCCCTAGTCAAACGTCATTTCCTATGTATCTAACAGTAATCCCTGGGAGATTGGCTCCCTATTTTCTGTGAAATACCACCCTGGAATGAAATTCTAATAATACAAAATCCCTGATCGACCTTTAATTATTCTTCGAGTATCTACCTACCTACCTACCTACCTACCTTTGGTAAGATACACGAGATACACACTTCGTACTCGAGTAGGTTCATGAGAAACATTTTCAATTGTCAAATCTCTTGCTCACTCTCTCACTCGATATAGCTCCCTATTACTCTGTTCATTACCTACCTATCTACTCGAGTATCTAGGTTGCTAATTGAGCTTTCGAACAATTCAATCAATTGGAAACTGGAAACGATCAACAGACCCATACCTTGGTTCCCCCTCAAAATCAACCAAACTCGAACACCCTTGGAACTTTCAACATTGTCTTCAGGGAATTCGATTCGAAGAAACTCTACTACTTACAACATAATTGCTCACAATGAACTTTGCGATATACATCTAATAGCACGATACTGTCCTCACCGGACCTCAGCTTGTAGGAAATCGAGATTACTTCCAGAAAGAATCCCCCTACCACCAGAACCTAGAGTTTACAATGGCACAAAGTACAACTGGCTCAATTTCACCATCGACACGAACTCCACGCTCACAATCGCCTATAAATACTCATGGAAATGGAGCTCCAACTGTACGACCATCGGGTCTACGGACTGTGAGTTCTGAGAAGCCTGGAAATTCACTCAATCTGGCTATACCTACACCGACCTCAAATGCAGCAAGCAATATCTCGGAAGAGGCAGTCGATTACATGAATTTTGGCGTTCCACATCATACTCCCATAGCTTCTACGTCAGATGCTATCTCTCCTGGAACATCTGCCAATAATGCGGGCGCCAGCTTTTCCCCAGTACCTCCCCCATCCTCATTCCCTCATGAGAGCCATTCCGCAACCAATGGTATATCAACTCCACCCGGCAGACGTAGCGTATCATTCGCTAGAGATATGACGACTGTTGAACCTCCAAATTCCGCACGACAAGATTCATGGGGTGTAGAAGACAATGACACGCCTGCGAAGGATAGGAGGGGTGCATCTATAATGTCGAAATTGAAGGCGTTAGCTACCCCAAGTGGGATGCAAGGGCATGGCAGAAGTCAAAGCACACCTACGAATTATTTTGATGAAGGACTTGGAACCACACCCATTGCTACGAATATCCCACAAACATTACACGAGGAAAGTAGTGATGCAGATGCGGAAGAAACTGCAGATGAGGGTACATCCAATCAGCCAGCGCGCATAAGAAAGAAACGCCGAACGAGAAGACCACAGGAAGAAGACAGTGCGCCCAATACACCCAGGTTTCGTGCTGGACCATCGGATTCCCCAGGTGGAAGTCGGTCATTTTTCTTGGGTAGGCGGGCAACCGATGGGTCTTTGGAACAAAGGGGCCATCTGTCTGAAGGCGAAGGGCGTGATCGTTTCAACGGGAAAAGTGCATGGCGACGAGGAAGTTCATGGATGCCAGGTCGAGGTTCAATTCCTGATACTTCGCCACAAGCCCAGGATTTTGCAAATGTTGATGGTGCAAGATCAAAGAGACCAAGTCAATTCAGAAGAGTGACAGGACTTGGGGGACAAAGCGAGGGTGAAGCGCAAACACCTAGAAGACCGGGGTATTTTGGCGCAGAAAGAGCTAGTACTTTTGGCACTCAGAAATGGCGGATGATAAAGCATAGCATGAAATTCTTTGCTGGCAAGGCCAAGAAGGAAGACAAGGTTGACTATCTTAAATCTACTGAACTCATGGCGGAATTACGGGCTGGCGCCCCTGCAGTACTTATGTTTGCTAGTATGATGCAACGCGATGAGCATGGAAATAAGAGAATCCCAGTCCTTCTTGAGCAACTGAAAATTGAGATCACGGACAGCAAACCCACCGACGAGGACGCAGATGATTCGGAGAGGCATCTAGTTTTCCGAATCGAGCTTGAATACGGAAGTGGTCCAAATCGAATGAAGTGGATAATTAATCGTTCCCTCAAGGACTTCGCTAATCTACATTTACGATATAAGCTTCAAGGAAATAGTGATAAGTACCTGGGGAACGAAGCTCACGCGCGACCAAAACAACCAAGATTTCCAAAATCCGCATTTCCATACTTCAGAGGCGTTCGAGGGCTAGGAGAGAGTGATGAAGATGAGGCCGATAATGTTCGTGCG